TATCCCTTGAAAAAAATTGGTTTTCTTTCTGAGTAAATATCGTTCAAACCGTTAAAGATATGAAAAAAATTTTACGGCTGCAAGTGTACCTTATAACGACGCATTTGAATTTTCTAAAAATGTTATATTTTCGACCTCTTCTCCATCTCTCTAATTTTTAAAAATTTTTAAAAGAACATTTTTATAAGAACAAAAATTTAAGCGCATTATGCTGAATACAATGATATATAACAAAATCATGTTCCAAAATCGTATTTTTGAGAAATGAGCGAGAAATATCTCTGTATACACGCTTCATATGTATTCATATCATACCGCGTTGGCTGCGCGGGACAACGTTAAAGGTGAATATGATGCAATTCGTCAGTACAGTATCAGTGCAACAATAATTATTGAAATAAGAGCTTTTTATAATAATAATAATAATAAGAATAGTAATAGTGAAAACAGATTTTGTTTCGGTATTCAATGTATTCAAATATTTTCGATAAGGTATCAAAAAACATACAAAGTACAAGTCTAGAAACAAAAGTTACAAAAATGATTATTTTTATAAAATATCGTTTATTTAATTTTGACCAGAGAGCAGCTACTGCAATGTTATAAATATATTTGATCGATCGGTATTTATATTTTGTGCAACAAAATCTGCAATTATACTGACATGCAGGTAATAAATTTGTTGAAGCACAGTTTTGCGTAAGAAAATCATTGCATAAGCCTTCTTAATGCGACGCTAAGCGCATTATAAATAGAAAATAGATTTATAAATTTGATGAATTTTATTATACATTATGTGAATATAGGTATAAAAGAACGCAAATCGTTATCGGTAAATTCAAAGTTTTATAATTGAATGAATCATAGATAATTAAAAATATATGTTCATGTGATCATTAAAAATATATATATATATTCACTACGTTATCTCCCAACTGTGTTCAAGTATTACGTGTACAATTACAAATTTTTTAAATCTCTTAATGAGAAACTTTGCTTAACTGATTTACATTCACATATTTATAAAATTGCAACATTATATATCTGAATATTACAAATTTTTCTTATTTATATTATATTCTTTTACATTAAAGTATTGGATGAACATTCGTATTAATGAGATACAAGGTATTTCTATCAATAAAGACAATACGAAAGCGCAGAAGAAACTCAGAAAGACATATTCCAGATACATAAAAATCTGAAAACGAAAATAATAATAATTATATTTTTCTAAATCATATATTCGTTGTTACTAGGATTTTGAATATTTATTTGTAATGTACTTACTAGAGGCAAAAATTGAAAATAAATTGGCGCTTCACTACACAAATTAATCGATCGTATAATGATAGGGTTTAAAAGGTAAGCGCAATAAGTAAGTCTGCTGAGAGGAATCCAGCCTTTGAATGATAACAACTGATTAACAATGCCTATAATAAGATCAAACATTAAACATTAACATTAAAATAATGTTTTAAGCTAAAACATATTTGAAATTCGAAATTATAATATATAATTATGATGAAAAAATAATTAGTAAAATGAAACTAAAAAAATAATACTGATATAATAAGTAAAATATAAATAACAAATAACAATTTTTAATGTTTAAATAACATTTCATACATATTAATTAAATAACAACTGTTTCTGTATAAATAAGTTCCAAAAAATAAACAAACCTCCGTGTTTAGTAAAACATGCTATTACAATCCATGCAAAACTTATAGCCCAAAATACTCTTTGCAAGGCCATATAAATAGCAGTAATCATAATAGATGTATATTGTAAGGATGTATAATGACCAAATATTATAAAAATAATGCTAGTGATCGAAAGCAACCAACATAATATTACTTTTTTCTGAAAATTGTTATATTATTATAATATAGTAAGAATTCATAGTAAATCCTAAATATGTGATATAAATATTAAAATATTATAATTTATTTATATTTTATTCTATATATTGCACTGTATTAGAATGTCCCATTTTAATCAATCTATTAGAATATATATTTCAAAATCCAAAATTTAAGATAAAAATGTCAGACAAAAATTGTAGAATATCGAGTGTATAATTAATATCGATTTATTTTTAAATAGCATCACTATTGAGACATTTTATGATCGCTATTGTTTTACATGAAATCATATATTTTTGTTACGTAATATGATCTCAGTGAATATCAACGTTTCAAAAATATGAGAAAATATCTAAAAGATATCTAAAAATGTTTAAAAATATCTTTAAGGTATTTCTAAAAAAGATCTCTAAAAGCCATTTAAGAGATATCTAAAAAGATTTCGATAAAGATATTTGTAGCACTTTTAAAAAACATCTATAATCATTTGAAAGATGTATTTAAAATATCTTTAAAACATTTATGACAACTGTTATAAGAATATTTTTACCGAAATCTATTTAGATATATTTTAACTATATTTAATACATCTGAGGTATTAAAGATACCTAAATTCTTTCTTTTAAAAGATATCTTTAGACATTTTTAAAACATGTCTATTATATCTTTAACTTAATATTATTAACTTATTATTTAACTTTTATGTTTCCTTCTATGAAAAAGTTTTTATAGAAAGATGCTTCTAATCCTATGATTATTTTGAATGAAGTAAAAAAGTATAAGATGCTACTTAAGTTATTATGATTTCAAAAATATTTTGTTTAAAAACTTTAAGACTTTATATTAAAAAAAACATTTTTATATTTAATTTTTTAAATATTATTTTTGACATTTATTACATATCTAAACAACACAAAGTCGACAGTTAATACTATAAGTAGGTAGGAGAAGTCTAAAGTCGACTTTAGTTAGACTGAATGTCAACTTATAGCTGACTAATAGTCGACTTTACAAGTCAATTAAAAAAAGTCAACAATTAGTTGGGCAAATAGTCATTTGTGCTGTGTGGGTATGAATTAATTATTTTTGAATTAATATATATCAAGAAATACGTTGATATTGATTTGACGTATTTAGATTTTCTGTTTTATATACTCAAATTTGCCAATTGCAATATAATAATATAAATTGTATTTAAAAATCAGTTAAAAATATTTTTGAAATGAAAAAGAGGTTCATAAAAATGACGAATCATCTAAATATTCCAACCATTGGATGGACCACTGATTAATGCGACGCCTTGCATATTAATTTATAAACAATTAATTTATAATCAATAAAATTGCAAGAAAAGAATATATTTGTAGCTTTGTACAGCTTTTATAAATTAACATTCAAGTTTTATTAATCAAAACTTACTTAAACTTACATAAAATATAAATTATACATTACCTTTCTAAAACAAAATTATTGTTTATTTCGTTAAAATAAAACCTGTAATTATTCCTATAATATATGGAATTATTCTAACCAATGGTGAATAATATAATATATCTGCAAGTCTATACAGTTCACCCAACTACAAA